CCCCCCCCCCCCCCCCCCCCCCGTTTGAGTTGTTACATCTATTCAGATTAACAATTCTTAAAATCCTTGATATTTTATTGTGGCAGCAAAATACTTTGGAAATGTTGCTGATTTTTAAAAAGAAAAGCAATTAAATTGTCTTGTAGCTAACAATCTGAAATAGTTCTATAAAGTGAATGTCCTGTTAGAGATCTTTTTAACTTCTTTGCTACTTACCAGAATGGAACTGTTATTTGAAAGCTAACTGTTTAAAATAAATGCTTAGTTTAAAGGTTAAACAGTGTATTAAAAAGCATATTTAGATTCTGAGATAAAATCTTCAGTTTTGAAAATAATTCTTATTAATCTTTTGAACTTTGGATATAACTTTAATCTTTTCTATGTGACATACACACACATGTATGTCTAGAAAAATGAATATTGCATAGGTAATATTCATTTGTATATTTATATTACAGTTTCCAATTTTCCAATTTTTTATTTTTTTTGTTTTTTCTTAACTTGCACTGCTTATGACAAGTTTGATGTGTTTCATGAATTTCCCCCCTTCTGTTTAATATAATGTAACTAAATCTTAATAGTGAAATGCTGAGTTCATTTTAGAATTAAAACTATATTATATAGTATTTCTGCTATTGTTTAGCTATTATTTAAAGCCTAATATTTTAAAAAGGTTTCTTAAAGCATGTTTATTTTTGACTTGCTGATTGCTAAAGAAGTAGTACTTTTGTTCTAAGGGCAAATTTTAATAAACTATTTCAAAAATAAATAGTTTGTTAATTGAAAAGCATTTATTTTAGAGTAACTCTGAATATGGTGTGTTTAATGAAAAAAGAGACTATAGGGATTGGGAGAACGCTTAACTGTGAAAATTTTGGTATTGAAATAAACACATTTTACTGCTATAGTTACTTTTTCTTACTGCAGGCAACCCATACGACTGACCTGGACACTGGCTCTGCATTAGTCTTGACCATTGAAAGCACTTTAATTACTGCCTGCTCCTCAGAATCTCTGGTCAGCAAAGGCCATTTTAAAAACTTCTGCATCCGCTTTGCTGATGGCTTTGAAACTAGCTGGGATGATTGGAAGCCAGAAATACGAGGAGATCTCGTGATGAATGCATGTAAGCATTTTTCTTAGTAATTTGACTTTTTGGAATTTAAAATATATATTCTAGGCCAGTGATGGCGCACCTTTTTGGCACTGAGTGCCCAAACTGGAACACGTGCGTGCATGCAAGCACGCACACGAGAGCGCCGGAAACCCAAAGACTAGCTGGTGATGGCGTGCATGTCCACAGAGAGGGCTCTATGTGCCACCTCTGGCACACGTTGCATAGGTTCACCATCATGGTTCTACGCTATAGTTTAAGTTTAGAGAGGTAATAGAGTTAGCTCTCTTGAACTTCTCAATATATTGCATCACAAAAAATAGCTCCTTGTAAACAAGTAAAAAACTGGGAATTTCAGTAAGAATTTGCCAAGCATTGTGTTTGTCCAAATCAATGGCTTATAAGTTTGAGAAGGACAATACATTTAATTCAATTTTTTTGATAAAGATTTTTTTTTATTTTTGAATAAACACAAACAGACAAAACACAAGGAAAAAACCCCACAAAACCATATTCTATTACAAATTGTAGAAAGTGTGTCGATTGGTTACAAAAACTTCCAGTCATCGCTTCCACGGTCATCACCTACAATTCATATGAAATCATATATTTTAAATCAAATATATTTCAGATTCAGATTTAGTTTATTTGTATGCCGCCCTTCTCCGGGAGGGACTCAGGGCGGCGAACAACTCAGAAGGGG